AGGAGCAGACACCCCTCACCCCTGCATTTGCTCTGCTTTTCTGGACTGCCATTCACCTGCAGCAGCGCTGGGGGCAGCACAGTTCTGCGCATGAATGTTAACAGCCACCAGGGAGCTTGGTAAACGAGCAGAGGCCTGGTGTCCACCGCCAGAGATTTCGATTCTGTGGCGGTTTGGTGAGACCCAGGAACCTATATTTTTGACCAGCATCCCTAGTGATTATAATGCAGGCAGTTCTCAGTGTATGTTTGCAAAGTACACTGGCACAGGCCTGTGTTCACGTTTTAGCTGTGTTGGTGACCCTGGATGTGTTAACTTCTTTCCACATTCATTTGCTCCTCCACAATTACATAGATGTTTAATACTGGACTTTCCAGGGGTAAGACTAAATTATTACACGCTCATTGTTTCTGGGTAATTCCCTGGGATTGGCTGGTCCTCTGAGATGGATTAAATGTGAGTATCTACACAATGGTAGATAAGAAATATATTCCATGGACTGTTAAGTATTAATACCACTAAAAGCATCAATAGGAAAACATTTTAGTTGAAGGTAGTGGTCATGGGGTCTTACTAAATAAATCTTGATGTATAAACAGTATGAGATCTGACAGGGATAGAAACTCAGATAAAATTCTACATGCGTGGTAAAATGGTGATATTCTACAGAAAGCCTAATGAGTCCTGTGGATGTGTTTATTCCGACCTTTATCAGGAACATGTTGACGATTCCTGGGAGATTAGAAAATCCTGGGAACTGAGCCCACTTCTAGTTTTAACCCCATAATGGTTTCACTGACATCTCAGTGGACCACATTCCTACTTTGTTATAGTTTGCCATAAAACCGATATGAAAAACAAGGGGAAAATGTTAACACAAAACAAGTTCAAAATCAAATGGAGCTTTTCTGGAGAAACATGAAAGCATTTTCTAGCTGGTTCATCCTCCTGCCTACAGGTGGACTATTGGTGAAGCTTCCTGTGTCAACTTTGTTTCTTTTCTGCTACCAGGGCTACTGGCTACTGAATTGTTTCAGAGAGAAAGAGAGACTGATTGAAGGTGTGTGTGTGTGTGTGTGTGTGTGTGTGTGTGTGTGTGTTTAAAGTTTTTCTCTGAGAACAGTCTCATACAATTATTACCTTTTGGCATATGGATAAAGATAGTGCCTCTCTCATAGGATTGTTTATAAGCATCAAATGAAATGTTTGCAAGGCACTCAGCTAGTGTCCGGTACAGAGTAAGCTAGTACTGGGCAAATGGAAGCCATTATTATTGAAACCCAAACTCAAACCCCGGTGACTGGGAGATGATGGCAATTGAAGCTACTGGTACAGCTAAACTCAGGTGTAAAATTCTGGCTGCCTCCTGTGTGCAGGATATTTGTGTGCAAACATCTTGAGTTATTGACATCAGTGGGTTCAGGGTCCTCATGGTGATGATACAACCCTTTCCTACCTCCCTCCTCTGCACCACCCTCATCCGCTGAATGGGCTACAGCGATAGAAAATGTCACAGTCAGTGAGCACCTCAAAGAAATAGGAGGAAACCACTGATCCTTCATCTGAGACACGCAGTTCAATCTGTCACCCCCAGACCAGAGCACTTCCGGAGGGAGAGAAGTCTGGGTTGTCACAAATGAGGGTGCCACGTGTCTGAGAACTAGAGGTAAGATTGGAATCGAGGTTTCTCTTGTAATGGACAGGAAACCCAGAGGCAGCGCCAGGAAAGAAAACCAAATAGATAAAAATAAATAAAGCCCAACAAAATGTAACTTCAAGCCCTCTCTGTGGACAGGGCTTCTGGGTGGTTCTTCTCTGGACAGGGTATTAGCAGGCCCCTCCCCTCTTCCTCCTCAGCGCACCCAGCCTGGTGGCCTAGATAGGAGCCCTCTGGCTAGATGGGCGCCCCCTGGATAAATGGGAGCCCCCTGGACTTTTTATGGCCATTTTTCTGCGGAGAGAGTTACCACGGGTAGTTATTAAGGGGTAACTGCGTAATTTTTAATTTCCAGGTGCTCAAGTTAACTTTGGATCTTGCATTCTTAATTTTCTTCTGCAAAAGAGCTGATGACAATCAGGAGACAGCAGGGGAAAGGGCCTGAGAAAGGAAGCCCTTGGAATTAAAAGGCTAAAATAGCAACGCACACCTTTGCCAACTTCTTGCCGTGGTGGGGCACCCTGGGTCTGTGGGAGCAAGCGCCCGCGGGCCCCACTGTCCGTGGTGGAGAGAGGCCTGCTGCATCCGGGAGCGGCGTTTAAGGCGTTAGCATTTCTGCACCCACTGAGGCTAAATGAGAGGCCCAGCCTGGGTGCGAAGTGCGTTTCATTAGCGCAGCTCACGGGCTGAGACAGAAACCGGGGCAGCAGTGCAGTGTGCGCTCACGTGCGGCCACTGCTACACGGCAGAGACCGGCACTGGAAGGGACGGCGACAGCCACTGTGTCCCAGCGAATGCATTGCTACGACCTGAGACTTATCTGTGTCTCTGAAAAACTGCAGGCTGGGACAGCGATGATGAAATGAATGCCTCGCTGAGAAAATAGTTATGGCTCCCTATTTCGGTCCTTCCTCATAGGCACTCAACTCTCAAACAGCTTCTTCAAAGAGTTTGAGGGCCTTTCCTTGGGCCCCAAGTCTCTGTCACTCCCTCACTGCAGAAAATCGCACTTCTTCTTCCCTCTTTCATAGCCTAGCGCCCAGATACCACTGCCAAAACTTTAACTCCCTTCCTGGGAGAAACTGATTCTCTCTTGAGTCTTGTGGAATCTCCCAGGTCACAGACTCCAGGAAGAAAGCTGGTTCTGATCCCACTATTTCTATCAGTGAGCAAATCGGCATGTCATCCAGAAAAGTGCATGAAAACATGACGCACAATGAGTAGGGGGCTCAGAATAAAGGCGTGACCTACAGGAGTGGAAGCATTTGCCTTCATTTTTGCAGAAGTCGGGCTCCTGACATGGTTGCATCGGCCCTCTCACTTTGCCCTTCGCTTCTGTAGATTAGCAGAGAGCGAGGGACTGACTGACACAGGTGGGATTTGCTGAAAGCTGTTAAAAATAAATTGTCCAAGGGAAAAGGACATGGCCATGGAGGGACAGTTCTGAGTGGCATGTGCCTCAGGTAGAAGGTCACTGCGATTCTGAAATAGGAAATTAGGGCATGGGAGCGATCAGCTGTCATCAAGGCAAATGTATTTATAGACCCGAGACCTCCAGTGGGGCATCCTGGGAGACCGCGGAGCCCTCTCCATCTGCTGTGGGGATGACAGGCACGTGATCGTCAAACGCCTTTTCCAGGCATCACGCTGGACTCGGTATCATTGGAGTGAGTACACGAGAGGCACGCGGAGGGAGAAATAACGCGTCTGGGAGAAGAGTGATTGTTCATGTGGGAACACTGCAGCATTGCCCAGAGAGTGCATTACCATTTCTTATATTACTGAGTAGAAGACTTAATTACTGTGCAAGCGAATGGAAGATACATTTGAGTTGAGGGGTATATAAAGCTCACTTTATGTTAGGTATACAAAGGAGATTTAAGACCGCACGTGGAAATGGCTAGTTTTCATTCACTTCTGAAGTAAAATATTTTTCTGTCCCATTATTTTCTTGTCCCTTCTCATCATTTGGGTGTGTTACTTTCCATCTAGCACCATTTATCAGACACTCATGATATCATCTAATGATTGATTTACTGTTAACAATGAAGAAAACATTAACCCAATTAAAGTTACAGATAATGTCTTGTTAAAATATGACAACTGAATGGGAGTGTGTGAAACGAAAGGGTGCAATATTCACTTTGTGTTGAAGGATCAGAAGCAGGATAAGAAATTTAAAATGATTAAAATCCAAAGTCTTTAGAACGAGCCTTTCTGCGAAAGCCTGCACCCATTTATTGGGTCAACTCCTCGGGACACAGCCCCCGGGGAGCTGGACACGCGTGAGGAGTCTGTGGCCATGGTAACGGGAATTGCGAATAATCCTGCCCTTCAGTTCAGGACCCATTGCTATACAGTCCACCCCCTCTTTTCCTGGGTTTGACGTTAATTGCCATCTACAATGTGAGTTGCCAACAAATGAAAAAGATAACTTTATCAAGTTTGGTGACTAATGACCTACTTTTATGCTATTTTATGAAAATAAGCAACACATCTTTCTTTCAGCAGTTAAGTGACTTGGGAGTTCATTGTGCCAGTATTGTCAGAATGCCAATTATATGTCACAGGGTTGGTTTGAGTGGCATTCTTCATAATTTAATCAATTTTAACACGAGATTTTATCAATGTCATTTAAATCCTTCAGCTTTCATCATTTTCTCATAACATTAAATTTTTCAAGCCACTTAGCAAACTATTTTTCTTTACAATTGGATACATAATATTCTTAATATTTAAAAATATT